AAAAAAAAAAAAAAAAAAAAAAAAAAAAAAAAAAAAAAAACACGTAACAAACTGTATCTAAGGTTTATTCTTTGATTATTGGCCGACAATTCAGAATAAGACCATTCCCTTTGTTACCGTCTGTGTGTGGACATATACAACAGAGGCAACAGCTGTGACATCTTCGGTTTGAATTTTGATTGCTAAATTGAAATTTATTAACATAAGGAATAGTTGAACACCATATGTCACATCTTCAGTTTCAATTTTTATAGCTATTGCAATAACATAAAATGAAAACTTCCTTAAAGTCAACTCAACTCAGTTGATGGGCACATGTCCTAACTCACAGACATGGCGTTTCATCCAAACCACCTTAAATATATAATCAAAATAAGAATTGTTTATAAAACAAGATAATGGAATAAATTGATTAATTTTTTTTATTATTGTCGTGAAGTAATCATCAATTATGTGAATAACTAATTTTTGTTTAAAAGCTTAACTTAACTTAAGATCTGACTTAAAATCAAATCTTAAAACAAGATAATGGAATAGATTGATTGTTTTTTTATTATTATTGTCATGAAGTAATCATCAATTATGTGAATGACTAATTTTTGTTTAAAAACTTAACTTAAACTTAAGATCAACTTAAATTCAAATCTTTACTTAAAATTATATTGCTCGAGTAAAATAATACTATTATAAGGGATAGAATTAATGTAATTAAATATTTAGGACTCATCTTCAAAACTATTAATTAAACTGAAATAATATTCTGTCAATTATCTAACTTATGTTTGATTCTTTTCATCCTTTGTTTTCTCACTTGTGCTTGTCTCTACATATTTGGATGTTAGTTAATGTCGCAATACAAACCTAAAATTTTTGGATGTCTCTATGCATTTTCCCATATTTCTCCTTAAAGGGCTTTTTTAATATTGGCTGTGTTTCTTCATATGATGAATTGATGATGATGCTTTTATATTTTTGTAATGCCTTTATGTTAGAAACTTTTTTCGATCTAAAAGTTTACGTGATTGTGTAGTTTCGGAACCTTTCTTTCATGTGTAAGTTGTGAGCTTGATTTCGAAAATAAATGTGTGATTGCAAATGTTACGTAACATTGAGGGTAAGTTGCCACTATTCCCATTTTGGATGATAAAAAGTTTTGGGGTTGTTGTGTTTAGAATTTGTTTTGCATCTCAATCAAGTATTGTCAATGTTATAAAAAGTGCTCAAAATCATGGTGATTAAATGAAAAAGGAGAAGCAATAATTTATTACTTTGCCTTCACCATGAAAAAATTATTGATCATCTTTTACTATGAAATCAATCCAAACGCACTGACAATGAAAACATGAACCCGCCTTGCTCCTAAGGGTAACCAAAGGTTCATTTTTTTCTTGCACTGAAAAACAATGATTCTATAGCAAAGGAAATTTGGGAATTTTTAAAGGAAATAATCCCCTCTATCCAATGCACTAGTCAATTTTACACACGATCCTTACACAAACTTGGTTTAAAAATGGGTGATGTATGTGACTGCATTTACAAAGAAATAGCAGTGTAATTATTCAGGTATTGGCAAGGAGACCCTTTCTTTTCCCTCAGAGGACAATTTACATTGAACCTCTATTTACAGGGCATCTTTCAAATAATATAGAGGAAAGGAGGAAATTAATATATAAAGTAAAAAAAAATGCGGAAGGTAGAAAAGTATTCAAATAAACAAATTTGTTTTTTCTATTAACAAGAAATTGGAAGAAAACACCCTTTGACTAACATCTTTCTGCAAGACCAACATTTCTTTGAGGTCTGCAAATTCATTGTATTTTATCACTTGTCACCCTTGAGATGGTTAGGATCATTTTGTCCCACTTTTATGTTCTCTGTTCTCCAAGAGGAATCCACTTGAGGAAGTTGATACTCATCTGGTTTCAAGGCCAAGGAAAAATCAGGCAATGTTGGTGCTGTCTCCATGATCCTGTAATAGAAAAAAACAAAATATGGTTTTGTTAGACATTATACTTCTTTTCATTAGCCAAGAATAGTTAAGTCACAATTTACTCATGCACTTTGGAAGGTTTACCTCTCATAAGAGTACAGATCACGGTTAATTCGCACCTTGCTTGAAGTATCCTTGGGAATTTTTTCAGAGAGATACTTCATGGTCCCCCAAGGGGGTGGATTTCTGCAACCATGACTTCCAGTGTTAGATGGGCCAAAAATAATACAGCAAATAACCATCAATAGTACTATTATCCTTGAAGAAGAAAATTTATGCATGTCAATGTAAAAAAATTACATTATCAATCAATCAAAAATCATCATTAATATGATTTTCAAAATAATCATTGCAAAGGTCAATACATCTTCTTAGAATAGTGGATTAAGCCTAACTCAACCCTATAAAACTGACTTGTAAGGTGGGGGTTTCTTTTCACTTATATACTAAGTAATTGCCTAATCTCTAGTCGATGTGGGACTTGGGTTTTTCCCAATACACTCTCTCACGTCTAGCACTATTGGGCTTGATACGTGAATAAATGGCGGGTGACCCTTTTTTAATGATCTAGGATTGGTGGGACTTGAGTTTTTCTCAATACATCCCCTCATGCCCATGGTGCATGTATTAATCGTAGGTGACCCATTTAAAATGGATCTAAATGGCTTTGGTACCATCTTAAAATAGTGGATTAAGCCTAACTCAATCCTACAAAACCGGTTTGTAAGGTGAGGGTTGTTTTTCACTTATATACTAAGTAATTGCCTAATCTCTAGTCAATGTAGGACTTGGGTTTTTCTCAATACAAAACCGGTTTTGTAAGGTGAGAGTTGTTTTTCACTTATATACTAAGTAATTGCCTAATCTCTAGTCAATGTAGGACTTGGGTTTTTCTCAATACAAAACCGGTTTTGTAAGGTGAGAGTTGTTTTTCACTTATATACTAAGTAATTGCCTAATCTCTAGTCAATGTAGGACTTGGGTTTTTCTCAATACAAAACCGGTTTTGTAAGGTGAGAGTTGTTTTTCACTTATATACTAAGTAATTGCCTAATCTCTAGTCAATGTAGGACTTGGGTTTTTCTCAATACACCCCCTCACGTCCAGCACTATTGGACTTGGTACGTGAATAAATGGTGCGTGGTCCTTTTAATGATCTAGGATTGGCAGGACCTGGGTTTTTCCCAATATACCCCCTCACATCCAGTACTATTGGGCTTGGTACGTGGATAAATGGTGGGTGACCCATTTTTAAGAATCTAGGATAGCTCTGATACCATCTTAAAATAGTGGATTTGAGCCTAACTCAGCCCTACAAAACCGGCTTATAAGGTGAGAGTTGTTTTCCACTTATATACCATTCAATTGCCTAATCTCTAGTCGATGTGGGACTTAGGTTTTTTCCAATACACCCCCTCACGTCCAGCACTATTGGGCTTAGTACGTAGATAAATGGTGAGTGGTCCTTTTAATGATCCAGGATTGGCGGGACCTGGGTTTTTCCCAATACATCTTACCATACAACACGATTAGTAATTTGTAATTAGATGACAATATAAAAATCTCATTTTTACACTGCCAATGCATATACTATTTACTAATAATTAATTTTGATGCAATGTCCATGTAAAAAAATTTACACTCAAAGAAATCATCACTGGTATAAATATAAACCCTGGTCGTGATAATTATCAACCAATCAACAATGATAAGTATGCCAAAACCATGGTCCTGATAATTATCAATGAGTTAGGTTGAACACATAAACAATTGCTGATAAATTCTTTTCAAAAAAATAATAAAGGCCAAGCAGAGAGTTGACTGTAGTTCAAAAAAATCAAATTATGACTCACTCTTAAAATAAAAGAGAAAAAGGAAGAAAGTGGGAGTATAATAGGAAATGATCGATCATAATGGCATATTATGTCACTATACTACATGTTAGAAATTAGAATATGCTAAAACTATTCTTCCTTTTAAGGCATGTCATTGAATTCCAAGGAAACGGATAATGGATAACTCCTCACAGTAATTTTCCATGGATTCTAAAATATAAAGGTTTAAATGCATTTTTAATGACTAAATTTAGTTTTAGTCCTTCAAAAACTTCCTTGTGAATTTTAGTCCTGATAAATTTTAAATATGTTTATAATGGTCTCCAGTACAATACCAATTCCAGCTACAGCGGATAACCACAACAAATAATGGTATTATATTATTTAGAAAACATGCTCATTACATCTAACTGTTGGTTCAGAAAGTTCTTAAGGAAGGTAAAATCATGTTTTCTGAAAGCAGATAACAGCGTAAAAGTGTCTATAAGGGAAAAAAAGAATAACCTTGACAATGGAGGCGATGCGTTGAATGCCTCACACAACTTCTTACTTTCTTTGAAATACTCATCTGCTGCTTGCAAAGCAGCTACAGCCATCCCATGAGATTTTTCTGTATTTCCCTCATCAAGAATCAAACCATGATAATAATATGCTGCAGCCTAGTAAATCATTACAACAAAAATATCACACATATATTACTTGCTTATGTAGCAGAATTCACCCCCTATACTCATTCCTAAATTATATATGAATATGCTGTGAGCAGAAGAAATCATGTAGGAATATGTACCTATGGTGCTTGTGCCATCAAATATGATTATTTCAAACAAAAAAAATAAGAAATTATCAAATTCCTTGAGAATTTACGGCCACACTGCAGCTACTATGCAGATAACGTATCTCATATATCCAAATCAACTAGTTCTCATTGATCAATACTAAGACTTCATCAAAATAGCACAAGAGTCTAGAAACAGAAACAAAGACCATCAAATCATCCTTTAGTTGAGCGTTTCATTAACCAAGATGCAACCAATTAGCCAATCAATCACATTATTCCAAAAAGAATATTTTTTATGCCAAATAAGTTCTCAATAGACTTGAAGTTTAAATATGAATATGCATTGTGCCTCCCAAAAAAATAATTTTAAGGGGGAAATTTATAGAAGTTTGTAGTTGACAAAACAAGAAAACCAATACTTATACAGTTTCTTCCAGACTGCAGAGTATAGACTCTGCATAATGCGTATACATAAAAGTGTGCTGAAATTTAAGACGCAATATTATGGTCCAAGAATATCAAGGGAATTTGGGATTTGTTGATAGAATCAGTAAAAGATGTAATCATCCTCATCTATACACAAAATTAACAACAACTTGGCAAATATTTCATCGGACTACAGCACCAAAAAATATCTGTTATGAAACAATCAATTAAATGTCCCTTTAGCTAGTTCCAGCTGAAATTGGTCTCATAAGACACAAAGACTCAATCCCCTCAACTCGATTTTCCACACAAACTTTGAAGTTGTAGAAGGAAATCAATTATTTGAAACAATTTGTACTTTCATGTCCATTATTTGCTTAAGGTGATCGATAAACTAGAAAATCAATCTACACTCACACTACTACAGAAAGAAATAATTAAATATAAGCAAATAACTTGGGGGGAAAAGAACATACCTTTGCTTCAACATATTTCCATTTCACAAAAAGGCAATGTTTTTCACCCCAACCATTTGTTAATGGAAGATTCATAATGTTATCTTGAGCCTGTAAAATAAACAGCGTAATCAAAGCAATGTATGCTGATCAAATGCACCCATGTTAACTTTATAGTGAACACATACATAAACAGAGCATATAGAATAGAAACAAAGATTTGTCAGGCGAAAAAGAAAATGTATTCAATACAATACATATAAGAGAAATGAGTTACCCTATAAGAAATGTATGATACAACCAAAAAAAAAAATAAGTAAAAAAAAGGACCAATTCCCCAGTGATAAAACAATAAATTAGTGGAGTATAGATCCCATACAGAACAAGTTATCATACCTGTTGCCAACATTTCACCATCTCACATGCAAGCCTACGCTTCACTGCAAGAGTGGCTTTCGTACTATCAATTGCCATTCCAAGTTGTATGTCTACACCCTGAAAAAAAAAAATAGGGTAGAAATAAACATATACATTGAAACAGATTTGAAAGAGAGTAAAGGTATATATACATTGAACCTTCATCTTCTCCAAGCTTCCATTCAATATCGATTTCATTACCCAAGAAACTTCTCTCTCCAAGAAGGTTCACCATACAAATACTTACCATCACACAAATTCTTAAAGTGACACAGCACACTATTAGACCCAAAACATCTTAATTCTTAACTATTAACACATTACTTGCAACAAAAATCATAGGAATTTACATATGATGAGTTGAAAAAAAAGCATCAGATAAGCTCTCCTTTTTAAGTCCTTTCGTAGCTTTCACTTCCCCGCAATGAATAAGTACATTGTAATTGAAAATACCAAAATACCCAACATCAGAGTTTTAGATGAAGTCTAGTGTTGTTCTCTTCTACCTTGCGCCCTTATCAATTCATTCCTTTCTTTTATTATGTGGACAAAATCAAGTAATAAGAGACTTGAAAGTTAAATGCAGTGTTCTCAGATTCAGCTGTTCAACATGCAATAAAAAGTTTGTTTACTATCCAACCCTCTGACAAAATAGGATAATTTATAACTACTTATTCAGACAATTTCTGCATTTTCTTAAAGAAGAAACCTATGTAGAATCTATTGGACCAAGAAAGCTAACAGCCTAGATTTTCTTAAGAAATTAAATACAATTATGGGATTGGAAGGACAACTTTATGTCTATCCCAAATATTTTTCAGGGTTAAGAGAATAAAGTTGTTCTCTCCATAAAAATACATTTTTACTGAAGAATCATAAGCATTATTACCAGTCCCATCCTCTGTACTTTAATACTTAAGAAACCGTATGCATTCAATTAAGATGGATGCATAAACATACGCTGGCAAAGCTAACTCAAATGTTTGAATACCATAACTTTGTGAGAAGTTGAGTGGACAATAAATTTGTCATGTTAATGAAACTCATTAGTTTTAGTCACTTCAATTAATGTGTCCATACAAAGAAAACGTTAATACCTGTCCTAATGCTTGTAGACTGAGTGCTCGAAGAACTCCTTCTGCTAGGTCCACGGGTAAAGTCCTCCTAAAATCAGAACCAAAGTAATAAACATTGAAAGAATGAAGAGAGCCATTTAGATTATACAAAAACGTGAAATAGTCAATTCACTGCATACATTAGATATGCACAAACCTGAGTTCTGCTGGTAACTGTGGAAGAACATGTTTGACAGCACAATCCAGATACCCAGCAGCCTTTAAGAAGATATCTACAGAGGCTCGTCTGCTTTCTGTTAGCAGATACCAAATGCGTTAACTTTCTCATAAAGGCAATATAATTTATTAGGGAAACAAAATAAAAACAAAGAAATAAAGTGTTGCAATATATGAGATAATAGAGTGTTTGCTAGCTACCATACTAGGAGATAAAAAAAATAATAAAAAAAAAAAACAACAACATGCATACTTTGTATTAAGAAGATAAATTTTCCAACATAGCATATGTATTGTATTGCATGTATTTCAAGTCCTAGTTATGGAAAAGATGTACCCACCATATCAGGAGAAAGAAAAAACAAAACCAACAAGGATAAGAATTATTTTTCTTAATTAAAATATTTTTTAGCCAATTTTTGCCATTAATTTAATAGACAGATAATCCAAATAATAAAAATCAAAGTGTAAGAGTTCACATAGACACATAATGGATGTGTTATACATACAAAAGCATATCCACCACACAAAAAAGAAGAAACAAGATTTTTTGGAAATCTTCTAAGAATATTTCATTTGTGTGTCACTATTTATCAACAGAACAGTAAAGCATTGAATTGATAGCAGGAATGTCACAAATAAACTGCATCCGGTGCAGTTTGAATAAAACAGCTTTCGATGGCAGCTTTCAGTGTTTTGGAATGTCACAAATAAACTGCATCCGGTGCAGTTTGAATAAAACAGCTTTCGATGGCAGCTTTCAGTGTTTTGTATTTCTTTTATAAAACAATTTTAGTGCTTAAAGGGCCAAGATCCATACAGTTTAAAAAACAACTGCATAGGATCCAAATCCGTCTCCAATTAGGTCTAAACTAATATATTTCAATGTATTTTTGCAGCTTGATATATTAAGCAATAAGAGATTCAAGGATGGGGCAACAAATTTGTTGACATGTGCAAAAAGCTTTTTGTAGCATTACCTACCTTCTGATACTTTTGGCTGATGACCATCATTGGAGGATGATCTTGGAAGCAGTAACAAGTTAGCCTGTGATAATGATAGCATTGCCATCAAATGCAAAACTGACAACACCTCATACCAAGCGTTAGACATGGATGTTTCCTGTAAAGAGTGCCAATCACGGCATACAATAAACCATAGTAGTGGGAACAAATTAATCAGCACTCTTCAGTATAGAAAGCAACTACCACTTCAAATCCAAAAACATGTATGGACTTTAAAAAGAAAGTTCAGTATACCTCTTTGTCATCCTCTTGATTCACCCAAACAAATTGTACTTTGTATTGTAAATGGCTTCCTGCACCATAAACACATGCAATAATATAATAATCAATACTTGTCTTGCAGAGAGCACACATCATTTACAAATGGACTAAACACAAGCTTTACCATCCTTAACTAATCCCAAAAGAACAGGCAAGTAATCTTCAAGAGCCTGCAGAAGATCAGCCAGTGTTGAACCTCCTGCAGAAGAAATCAAAAGATGCCGATCCATCAATAAATTAGAGTAACTTATTCATCATAAAATAATCTTATTGTTGTTAATACTTAATACTAACCATGCTGAGTTTTTCTTTTTGTTCTTGTAATTGTAGGACCCTCTTGACCGGCCATTACAACTATACGTGTTCTAAGAGCTGAAAGGCGTTCCACTATATTCTTGGACAAATAATCACCAAGCAATTGAGCAAAATCAACAGGTTTAGGAATTCTCAGACCAGGAACATAAACTGAAACTTCACCAATACTCCCTGGCTTCCTTCTATTTCCACCAGAATCTTTCGGAGTTGACACCACACAGCCCATTTCTGAAGGGTTACTATATCTTCTGAATGCTGGCACAAATAAGATGCAATGAATCACCCCCAAAAAATCTCTATTTCAGTGACTATAGTGAGTTTCACTTGTCTATGTCATCAAGCAGTACAAACTTGAAAATAAAGTACTGGTAGGGGATACATGCCAATGACAAAAAAGTTTATTCATTATATTAAAGTTCTAGAGAACACTTACAAGGAAGCTGAGATTAACACTAAAAAAGACTAATTAATAGCAAGTTGCCAACCAACCAAAAAGTGGTAGTAGGTTACTCACGAGCACCATCACATTTAACATCTAATGGGACTCACCACAATATTTTAAAAAAGTTGACAAATATTTTATTCAACATGCTTATTGTTATACCCTTTTATGGTCTGTTTTCAGCAGCATTAATGATTCCCTCCTTGTTATCCACTTCCTAAATAAGCCAAAAAGTTTCATAATCTAAATCCTTAATTAAAACTTAAAAATAAGCACCAAAGAAAGATTAATCTAACCAACGAACCTTGTCCTTTGCTCTGGCTGTTGACTAGTCAAGTCAAAAGTTCTGGTATTCTCTGCACAAAAAATTCACAGGTAGAGAGTTGAGTTTGAGAAAGAAATAGAGCTAAAAGTGACAACATCACGAGAACAGCATGAGACATGACAAGTGTTGTCCGTGTCAACGTTTAACTGTGAAAACAAGAGAAAAAGCTTCAAAAGTTTGCACCATGCTTACACGGTGACAACACTTAAAGGTAAAGTAGCATCAAGTAAAAGCTTTTATTGGATTTTACATTTCAAGAAGAAAACAGCTGAAACTCTTGTGAGTAAAGGGTCTCCAAGGAAATCCAAAACAACTAAACAAGCAACAATTGCAGAAACACAAAGGAATATTGGCATTCTTTCACCATCTCATATCTTCCTTGTTCCAAATCATGAAACAACGTGTCTGTTAACATCTTCACAAACATTACAAAAAATGGGTAAGAGTAAGATAACTCAAAATTAAAAGTTCAAAAGTTTTTGAAACAAATGAGAAAAATGTTCCATTGATTTGATGAAAAAAAACACACACAAAAGATCCAAAAACCCTTTTCCAAATTCACCCCAATACCAAACTTGAACTTAAGCTGATTTTCCAGATTAGGATAATTAAAATGATAAACTCCCCTGCCCCCACCCCCCAAATAAAACATCTTAAAAAACAGATTTTTTAAGAGCAATTACCATAGTTGCAATCATTGAATCTTTTCCTCATTCTTCCTAACCTTAAGCTTGTCATTTATAACAAAAAAAAAACAAAACAAAAAGAATCACATGCTAGTTGGTCTTTTTCTTTTACCAATAACAGCACACAGTGGTGGCAAATTCAGGAAGCTGAGGCAGTCAATTGAAAGCACAAGAGTGACACTCAATCCAATTCAATTGAAAATCAAAGAAAGCAGAGATTTTGAGAGGTTCCCAGAAGCTGAAAGTGAAGCTGAAGATCTCAGAACCAAAATTCAAAAAGAATGAGACACAGCTTTTGCTTCAAAGCGAGCAACAGAGACAGATAGAGAAAACCTTCCGTGGAAACTGGAAACAAAAGTAGAAAAATGTATTTTGATTTTAATTATTGGACAACATTAACATATGGTATTGCTCTGTTTTTATGTATATAAAGTATGTTATGTGATATGTGTGCATTTATTTATTTTTGGATTAAATATGTTTTTTATTTTTTAAATTTTAAAAAAAAATATTATCTATAATTACAAAACTTTTTCTTATACTTAATATTTTTTTAAAAATTATTAAATATTATCACATAAAATATATTTATTAATATCTTTTTTAATAGAAATATAATATTAAATGTTGTTAATGTATAATCATCCCAATTTCTTATTAAAAATTAAATATTATAGAAACTAAAAATAATTTTAAATTTAAAAAATTAAAAATAATTTATTTTAAATTTAAAAGATTAAAAATCATTTTTATTTTTTATTTTACAAAATGTGTTATATATGTATGTACACATCAATCATTGCTTCTATCGTAGGCTCTTAGACAGAGATGCACAAGCAATTGTTAGAAAGTGAAATGGCATTAGGTCAGGATATTTCTTCTTGTATAGTAAAAAAAATTGACTTTTAACAATGAAAGAATTTTTCTTAAATTTTTTAAATGCCTGATTTTATTATTATTTAGTATGTTTTATATTTTTTTATAATAAATAATACACAAACTGACTGTGTAAAATGAAAAGGTTGTATATATGATTATCTAGTTATGTTGACAATGTATGTTTATTTAAATTTTTATATAAAGTTTTATATTTTTATCACTTTTAGTTATTGAATAAATAATCTAAAGAGTAATAAGGTAAAGATTTTTATATCGCTAAATAATCATAATAATTATGAAGGATAAGTTTATTAATTTTTATAATAGATACTTTAAAATAAATACATTGTATATTTTAAAATGTTTTATTTTTATTTAATATGTTTTATTTTTATTTAATATGTTTTATTAAACAATGCTATCTTTAGGAGTTGTAAAGTTTTTTTAAATATTAAAACAATGGCAGTTGATAACTGCTGCCATCGAGGCACAGACAGACAATGAGGTTGCCAGCCGCTGTCTCAGTTTTCTTTGTTAAGATCAAAATAAATTAAAAAGATATATTTTCTACTTTGTTTTTATTTATTTATTTATTTATTTATTTTAATTTGTTCCTAGAGTATCCGCCGATAGCAGTGACTAATCTTCTCGCTAGGTTAGAGACACCTCAAATATTAATTTTTCTACTTGATAAATAAGAAAATAATTTTTTTTATTTCTTAGATGTTGAATGTATTTATTATTTTATTTAGCACTCTTTTTGTAAAGTAATAAGAGAATCGATAGAAAAATATAGTGAAAAATATAACGTTACTACTGAAATAAACTTACATCACTTGACTGACAAGTGGGCCAAGTTTTTAATGCTTTGTTCACATAATTTCAATAGCAAGTAAGTTGAAGGTTTTCTTTTTCCATTCTAAATTAAAAGAAATAAAATTATTAAAAATATAAATTATAAAAAAATTATTTATCAAAATTAATAATTTGTGTCAATATGAAATTATATTAAAGAAAATATATCAAAGATAATGTTTTGAACATAAAATATTTAAACAAAACATTTGAGAAAAGGTATTTCTTGTTAAAAAAATTTGAACAAAAAATATTTAGGGGAATAGAAAATATCTAAGAGTAAACGTTTTCTTTTCAAATGACCCATGATGGATGTGAATAGAAAACTTCTATTCACTTCCTGTTCAAAAAAACTTTAACAGAAAATGTTTTCTCCTTGGATGTTTTTTATTTAAAAAAAATTTACTCTTAAAATATTTAAGTTACAATTTAATTTTAAAAATCATATTTATTTATTTTTTTGTATTATTAAATTTTAAGTTTATAAATTTAAACATTAATTTTATTATATGTGTAAATTTAAGATAATATTTATAACTTATTTATTTAGTTAATATTTAATATTATGATTGATTTTGAAAAATTAGTTAATCTACTAACAATCAAATTAATCTACTATACCTATTACCTAATATGATTATGTCTAGAATCATTTAAAAATTATATTATAGAAGTTTCACTTCAGTTGTAAATAAAACAAGATTATAAACACGTAAATGGATACATCACTTTGCAAATACAAAGTTTAAAATAAATTATTACTTCTTAGTTTATACAATTTCAAATGAGCTACTATTGTGAGAAATGAGGATACTTCATATATCAAAATAAAGCAAGAAAAATTCATGAGATACCATCCAAGTATATTAACTTTACCCAAAATTGTAATTTTTTTTTTCAAAAAATTTTCATATTTTATCTATAAAGTGTAATTGAGCATTTAATGGAAGTGTTAAAGATAATATTTGAACCCTCAATTTTTTTCTCACCGCCATCAAAGCCACAAAGTCATTTGACTCGTTTAATTTATATATAAAAAAATGTATTATATATATCATAATTATATATTATACTTTTGAATTTTAACCTTTAAGTAAATTTTTATATTTTTATTAAAATATTAAAATTTTAAATGATAAAAATATTAATTAAATATTTAAAATCAAATTACAATTATAATTAAAAAATTAATTATTAATATATTTTAATAAAATTGGGTGTGTAATGTTCAATGTACTTTATTAAAATTTTGTGTGTGCACGTGTGTACATTCTGTATGTGTGTGTGCCTACACGAGTGTATGTGTGCATATACGTTTGTACGTGTACATGTGTGGACGTGTGTGCATTTTTATAATTATTATATTGTTTAATAACTTTTAATTCAATGATATTTTTGCAAAGTTCACTATTAGATTGAAATTTCATGTATTGCGTCCCTTTTAGAGATGGCAAACATACCCGTATCCGCGGATAATACCCGAACCCGTCCCGACTTTGACGGAAAATACCCGGTTTGACCGGGTACGGGTACGGGTAAAACCCGATATATTAAATCGAGTACGGGTACGGGTACGGGTATGTACTTACCCGCCCGGTACCCATACCCGTACCCGTCCCCATTCTCATTTTTAATTTAATACTCACTTTTAATTTAATTATATTAAAAAAAATTAATATTTTTTTATGTGTGATTATTTATTATAACATAAGATAAAGAAATAACCTAATTATAATTAGAATATAATAAAAAAATAATTTAAAAATTAATATCATTTTTTTTACAAAAAATAAAAAATAAAAAAATTGACGGGTACGGGTATACCCGATACCCGATGGGGATGAAAATCTATACCCGATAGGTATGGGGACGGGGACGGGGATGGGTTTAACTCGCGGGGATGGGGATGGGTATCATGAAACCCGTACCCGACCCGTCTCGTTGCCATCCCTAGTCCCTTTTGATTTATATGAATGAGGTTAGGGATGAATCCATGACTATGGTAGTATGGGCAATTGTCCCCACTAAAATTTTCCTCTCTCTAATTTTTATATATAATATTAATATTTTTATAATATATATTATTAATTATATTTTAATTTATTAAAAAATTATTATGTAGTGACACAGTAATTGTTATTAAAAATTACTTTTATCTGTAATATAAATACAATATATGTTGATATATTGATAAAAAATGTAAGCATAAAATATTGTGACACACAATATATATTGTAATGACCTGCCTTAGTCGTCACACTACGGAATAACACAACACCTTACTGAAATATATACTAAAATAGTATCATAAGAATATTTACAACACAAGTTGTTAAGCAAACAACCAAAAAAAATTTAATTATACACAACCAAATATGTTACCATAAGGTAGCCTACAAAAGAAACATCCACTCCACTCCAAACATCTCATGTTGCCTCTAGCAGTTATCTCCCAGCCTATCTTTGTCCTGCTCTCATACATCGTATGATCATCGCAGTCCAAACCATATGAAAACATGCAAGTGTAAGCTAGAGAAAAATAAACAACTCATAATAATAGTCACCACATTCAACACAACAACAAGCAACACATGTATTACATACCTCTCAACAACACGTATATTTAAAAAGCAACTTACAACACTGGTAATCTAACAACGTTATCATCATTATCATACTTGTTCAACATACAACACACAACACATAAACAACACATATATAGGAAAATAACTTACAACACTAGCAACTTAACATCACTATCATCATCAAATAGTTCAACACACAACACATGCAACTTAGCATCACTGTCATCATTTTCATCAACTTGTTCAACATACAATACATAATACTAAAATAACATATGAATGTAAAAGCAACCTGCAACACAACGTCACTACCAACAATAACAGCTTATTCATCATGCAACACACAACACATAAGCAACATACATCTCAACAACACCTTCACAACATGCCGACACATACAACTCATATCATCACAATATCAACTCATCAATACATGCGTCGTCACTCATTTCAACTCGGAGATCTCCTACAACACAGGGTGAGCAGCTTAAGTGGCTAGGTTCTATCAAACCACAACACAGAACCTTTTTGGGCTTGCTAGGTACACAACAAATTTGGATAAAAATCTACAACACGATAATAGTTTATCAGACTTTGCCACTTAAACAATAAAATATAGTACTATGTCAGGATATGACAACTAGGTTTAGGCCTACCACCGCATTAGCTAGCTCAACTAAGCCACATATGGGATTAGCCTACTAACTATCCTCCAAATACTACAACCCTCCGATACTTGGTTAGGAACTAAGTTCCTGACTTCGTACTTTCCTCGAATTAGCCGCTTGTAATCAGTATAGCTCGACCTGGCCCCTATACAGGTGTGCCTCGACCTTGCCCACACACAGGATCAACTAAGTCCTATAGGAGAACAACACATCATTCACTCCAAGGGACAACTTCCCAAGGAGGGTTTTTTAACAAATTGGGCTCTTAGAGCACCACAACACTCTAATCCACATAATGGGATGAACAACTTCAAAAACATCTCTCCTAGTCCTAGTGATCAATAACTCATCATCATGGCATAACAACATAGTTATCATCTCATTAGCTCAACTATCAACTCATTTCAACTTTAAA